AGTGCCAATTTTGCCCATGAACAATGACTTTAACTGAGACAGGTGACGCCTGTAGTTCTTTAGATGTTGTTCTGAGTGTTTTTGTGACCTCTTGGATTTTGATGTGATCTTGGAGTAATTTTAGTAGTCTGGCCATTCCTTAAAGGCTCACCACTCTTCCAAGTTTTATTCATTTTAGACGGATCCTACATTGAAGTGAAGTAGGCTATACTTCACTTTTCAGACAAGTTTTTACTTAATTGATTTCTCATTTCAGCTTACTGGCAGGGTGTGAGTAGTTAAACTGAAGTCAGCTTTCCAAAACAATGTGGTTAATCACAATTAGTTCATGATTTAACGTTTTTACATAGGACATCGGGACAGCTATTTTCTATTAAAAAATGAAATCATTGTTTAAAAACTACATATTGTATTTACTCCACTTATCTTTGTCTAATATCAAAATGATACTGATGATCTTGATGATCTGAAAAATGTGATAAATATGCAAAAGGAAAAAGAAAATCAGGAAATATTGTTTCAGGGCACTGTAAATATAGCAGGAATTTTAAATAATACAGCAAAAATAAAGAAGATAAGTGTTTGTATGTTTACCATATTACTGCAAATTAAGACAAAATGTTATTCCAATATCAAATTAGGTCAAATTTACCTAACATTTTTTTTTATTCCAGACATTCCAGTAACAGTATTCAGAACAAACTGAAATGATTTCACATTTATTTGTTTGTTTGTCTTATATCACTCATCCAACTTGTCTGTTGTATTGTACATATATTATTTGTAAATATGTTTTCCTCTATTTTACTTAATTGTGCGGAATGTCTGGTGACAAGTACAGATACTTTTTCAATCACAGTCTGAACTCAGCCTCACTTTGCTTAGGACCTATCTGTTCATTCGCGGAGTGATAACTGGGGAACCCTGGGTGCCACGGCAGCCTGCTCACAGCCGCGGAGGGAGACAGCATCCGAAGAAGAAGCCTGCCGCCCGGCTCTTCTTTCCCCCGGCATCAGTTGAGCCTCGCAGGGACACGGCTGGTGAAGTATCACCAGCGGCTGCGTTTAATTTAACATTTTACTCAACAGAACACATCTTTTTGATGTTCTTCTGAACGGGATGAAGATTTGATTAAGTGTTTTATGAGCCGTCGCTTTGTCAGGGTAACCTTAGTCCCGTTCCTCTTAAGAAATTATATTTTAGGGTATTATGATAGCTAGTTAATTGATTATTTTATTGTTTGAGCAATAGCTAACGTAATCAGCCGAAGGGGGCATTTTTTCTTCTGTCGTCTGCCCTGTCTCCTCGCCTTATAGAGCCAGTTTTTCTGGTTGAATCGAGCCTAAAAAAGCAACTCGTCTGAGGAGAGCCGACT